TGCGGGAGCGCCAGCGACCCCCTTGGGTACGTTAGGAAGAATGGGGGCTTGAAGTAAGCTAGTAAAGACAATATGCGTTATTGCTTACTTTATGAGCCATCACCTAGACCTGTGCTCCTACGGAATAACACGCGTAAGACACATTCACCTCATCTTCTTCTTCTCATCAGCGTAAGTTTCGAGGGTCAGCCGCCTTTGTCAGTCGTCGCCATTGCTCTGTCCTGTACCGTGGTGTGACTCGCTTCGGTCCTTTTCCTGACTGGTCTAGAACTATCTTCGCGTTTCTGCAGGGCAGAGTTAGTCCTGGCGGGGATCGAACTTGCAGCTTTCGGCAGACATGAGCCTACACTGTTAATCACTCAGCTGTCCCTACCTCTCGTACATACTCACGTCAAGTCCTAAGGAAACTGGAGTTTTATTCTCATCATCGTATAGGTTGTCCTGCGACTAGATCATCACTTCGGTTGAATAGGACCAATCCTTCCCACAATTTAGGTTGCAGGGGCCGCAACCGTAGAGACACTTTCGCGACTCGCAATGCTTCTGAAAGAACGCTGGAGCCTAGCACTTGGATCCGTGCACGCCCACCGCTGCGGTACTTGCGTTTCGTTTACTGATATGCTCTCTTGAGTTCATGTGTCCTTCTCTGCCTCGGCGCACTCTAAATAGTTAGACAGATTCTCTTCGAAACTCTCCCACCGCACAGGAAACGAAGGATCTCATTGAGGGCATCATTAGGCTCCTTTCCCTTTTTTCTTCACTGGTAAGTCAACTAGCACCTGAAGTTTGATATTAGAAACCTACTATGTATATTTACTGCGTTTGTGCGAGGTGCGGCTTACCAAAGGCTAAACGTTGTCGACATCGAATCTGCTTGGAACTTCCTCCTCCAGGCGAAAGGCTGATTCTCTTTCCTTGTGAGAGGATCAAGGGATTCCTCTATGCGGCCAGTTAATTAAAAAGCAATTCAAAAGCAACCACAATGGGAAACAGCGGCATAGTGTAACGGCTTTTTGTTATGTATCCCTGTTAGGTACCTCAACTGATGTGACCCGCTTTGTTAACACTGCTATCCTTGAAGTTAGGTCAGCTTCGATAAAACCACTTCTGAGTACCCCCGAGAGAGATTTAAATATTTATTGCCATATTACGCTAGTGTAAATTTATTTGGTGCAGTATGGGCTAGCGACGTTCTCTGTCGTGGTGCTGCCGTATGGCTTTTGTGAACCGTGGAGGTAATGATGAATGAATTTCGAGACTGACTTCGTCGTGATTTGATGATGATCGTTTTCTAGGAAAACACCGCGATTTTCGTGTTTGCTTTATTGCTTTCACTACCTAGACTAGGGTTCACTGGAGACGGACGCTGGGGCCAAGATTTTGTAAGATTTTTTAGGTGGGCGCTGGTGTTCCCTGTAACGAGCTCGTTTTAGAAATGTATGAAAATTACGTACGGCAAAAATAATAAAAACGAAGAACATCTTCTATCTATTTTCTCTTTTTTTTCTTCCACAGAGACCAATGAAGTCTATAAATAGAAAAAAATGGATAAATTCGACTATGACTATCCGGAATGCGCCACGCATGCACACCCACTCAGAATCGCGATACAATGTAGAATTTTTTTTGGCGAGATACAATTGAGTTAGGGGGGGGGCCGGCTGCTACGAATTAGTGGTTTTTCTTCTCCCTGGCAAGTTGGTACCAATTAGAAATCGCTAGAAGAACGTGAAGCTTGGTCAGCTCGGGTATGGCGCACGAATTAGGATATGATCCCGGCCCGTATATCGGCGAGGTTGTCCAGTGGTAAAAGGCGTTGGTGGATGCGCCACTTACCACTGCACAACTTTCGCCCGAAGTTCCCGTACTGCTAACAAACTGAATCACTTGGCAAAGTAACAACAAGTGTTCGTTCACCTTCTAAACTGAAAACAATTGAAAGTTGTCGAGACAGAGACTTCAAAAATGAACCATTGAATAATTGGTCCCAACCTAGTACTGAAATCACAACAATACTATCGACAAATTTATCGGAGCGGAGTGCTAATCTCGGCAGCGGCAGTCTGTTTTTTGGCGCTCTTAGGTTTGGCTATAGGGGCTACAGGGCTATAGGGCTGTAGGCTATAGAGCTACTTACCATTAGGGCTACAGGGGCGCTCAGCGGCTTCACGGCATTCCTACTCTGAACTGCGACGTCAGACGTAAATTTCTTTCTTGAATAACTATGTATGTTTCTGCGCTAGTGAGAAGAAGAATAGGGGTTGCGAATAGTTTCCAAGTAGGGTAACTTTATAGGAACCCCTTACCCTGCTACCGCCTCAAAATCAACCATTATCTCTGCTACCAAGCATAGCTTATGACTGCTCTCGGCAGTCCTTCGTTTCGGGTACGAGCAGGCGATCGTTTTTTCGGGTTGTTGTGGCGTGGAACGACTAGCCACCAAACTCAATTACCGCTTTCGAGACGGCTCAACACATTCATAACTCACAAGTTTTGGCTAAGCAGTTCCGGGGACAATATCAGGTTTTATTTCTCCCGCCTCCAAGAGAAAAAAAGGATTTTGTCTATTTTAGGTGCTGTGCTCCGAGAGAAGGAAGATGCGCACATTGCAGCTGCCATTCAGTACACGGTTGAATGGTTAAATCAGAGAGGTGTTTATGGCGAGGTGGAGTACCTCATCGACTACCTCGACGATGTCGATCATTACGATGCACTGAAGAAAGGTAAAGTTGCTCAGCTGAAAATTAAAGGGCTTCAATAAGTGCAATTTATGGGGCAGCGATGGTGCAGTCCCAATTCCAAAGCTGGTAGTTGTGATGAGTTCACTTGGGGACTGCCATGATCTCGGTAGGGTCACATCGCTTATGATTCGAATGCAGCCACTGAGTTCTCTTGTGCTGCTGGGTCAACACGGATTTCTTTGAGTCCCAGAATGATTTATTGCTGGACGAAGAGCTCCTTAAAGGCATCATAGGTTTGATTGGTGTTTGTGTAGTTTTGGAAAGACATTGTTAGAAATATCCTCCCAAATGAGTGCACCAGTTTCACATGAATTACGGGTTTCCTTCGAGAATCAATATAGTTGAAATATTGTCGGCTGTGACGGGATTCAGCATCTCGTAAGGAACTCACCCTATACTTCTCCCTTGTTAGCCTCCAGTTCACATATAAATAAAATTGAATGAGTATAAGCAGCAATCGGTCCATCTTTTGAAAGCGAAAGCAGAGCTGACTTCTCGTCCAGGCTAAGTCCTTTCATGTCTGGGTTCCACTTGGTGAACTTCGTCCTAATGAGTCTCTTGGCTCTCTCGATCCCTTTCTCTCCCTTTCCTATTCTTTCCCCTATGAAAGGTGTATCCTGCATTGTTTGGCCCCTCACACGACGCATGCGGTTTGACAACAATAACAAGCTCTCAGTTGTTTATGGAACAACTTGAGGACAAATTTGACAAATCAGTGACTTTTCAATGCCCTGTTGCATTAACTGCTACTAGAAGGAGGGGAAAGGCAAAGTGCGTTAGGCACCAACGGAGGCGATTATACTAATCCACAAACTTATTAAGGGAACAAGCAAAAATCGGGCAATGAATCGGCGTCTATTTTGTTTGTTAAGCTATTAACGCTGCAGTATCGTGTGCGAATGTTGCACAAAATAGGGGTTGCTGAACAAAACTTTCGCCCAAACAAAACAAGTCAAGTCGGAATTCATTGCTAAAGCTTTCAGCCTCGCGGTCATTGCCGATATCGGCTAACCGGCTCAACACGTTATACGTGTGAGTGCTGAAAGCTATGGTACGTATACCATGAAAAGCTGAGTTGGAATGAAATGGTGCCCCGGTAGCGTAACTGGTAGCGCACTTGCCCGGAAAGCGAGAGGTGCGGGTTCTAGTCCCGCCTGGGGCGAAAGTTTTGTTCACAACCCAGCATTCTTGTGAAACATTGGGCAATGAACGTGATTTTATAGCTTGTTCAATGTTCGAAAGAGACCGCGTCATTGCACTGATAGGAGGCTCCCATTCACTTCTGAATGCTCAGCTGGAGAGACTCACGGATCAGCACGTTAGGGCTGTTGCATACACTTACCCTCGTCCACTGTCCACAGGAGCGGCCACCTGCGGCACCATGGCCCCGCGACCACTGAGACCAGTACGCTGCACCCCCTGGTATCGCGAACAGGTCCGAGACTCCTACTCAGTAGATAATGATACACGTAGGAATAAGCAGATTTTACCCCTGTCGAAATCGCGAGCGCGAACACATACATTCGCCAAAAACACTGCTCCATTCTCAATGCCTCGACATCTCCACATCGTTGAGACAAGCTAGCTTGGAATGACGTTCGAGACCAACGCGCAGCCGGAACACACAAGGTCCAAGCTTAGTTAGCTCTTCTAAGCTGACTCTTTCCACCATAATAAGAGTAGCCTCTCAGAATGCTGAAAACAAAATATCGAGACGCTCACCAAGAAACGTCCAATCAACCATTGAAAGTGCACATTCACGATTCCCGGAAGTCACCTCATGGCAAGGACCTTCCTATTGAATGGTGTTTGTCCACAATCACAGGGTAAGAGCCACATTAATCGGTTCGAAAAACCTGAGAAAGGCGCTACGCGCTTATAATTCCCATCAATGCACATCCGTTACACACCTGTGAGCCGGTGTCTGCGTCCCACTTGTCCCTATGCTCTCTCTCGCCTCTGCGCACATGACTACTTGAGTCTAATTTTTGGCTTTTCATTAGAAAGGAGGCTCTATTTCCAATAGTCCAATGGCTTCTTTTCTCTTATTTTCGCTGTCAGTCCATTTCCACATCTGCCTTCACTTGCGAGCGCTTTTAACTTTTTTTTTTCTTTACAAAATCAGGTAATCGCAGGATGTGCTCTTGATTGACGCTGGGCATTCTCTAGACCGGCAGGAATGCGTAGTCCTTCAGAATTTAGCAGTATATAGTGCTCAATCTAACGCTCTAACGATCTAGTGCTTAATCTAACGTGCAACTTTTGCTAGTCGTAATCAGTGCCTGTATAAAGGGGTTTTCTTAATCACATGTACGTACAGCAAGTTCTCAAAGCATTCAACGAAAGCTTCAGACAAATAACTCTGTGGCTATGAAATATGTACAAAGTATATATCAAACCTTATTAATTGGAAAAGAGGTTTAAGGTTTAAGCCTTGTAGCCCAAATTTGCTTTCAACTCAATTAAGAGAAATATTTTCTTTTCATTGTGGCAGACAGGTTTGGGTGCAAAGAAAATTTGGAAGGGAAAGGTCGTCTGAAGCTACCTCTAGCTATGAATATATAGTAGGAATATTTTCGAGCACGGTGAGCGCAAACTTCGAATATTAGTTGCTGGCGATAGACACCGGGCAGGGTCGATAGCGGCCTTCACTTATTGCTAACAATAAGCGCAGGTAGGAGGTGATGATCAGGCTGAGCACAGAATCGTAACAGAATGAAAGAACAACTATGAAAATCAACTAAGATGGATATGCCCAGCCTTCCACTATAGATCGAATTTTTTATTTGCATGAGCAACGACATGACTACACTAGGTTGACGCCCTCACATTGTAGCCACATTCCCTTTTTAGCACGGTCATTATTGTTCTTCGAATTGTTGACTGCAGAGAATTGCTCATTGTTCATTGTTCATAGATCGCCTTCTTTCCTCGAGCTCAACTCTTCGAGGCAATCGTTGACCTATTCCGATACTGGCGATGGAATCGAATAACAATCGTTTTACGAAGGAAAGATTGACCGTTGGTTCAAATATCACTCCATATTTTGAATTTTTCATAACATAGTCTCTTTTTTTGCAGTGGAAAAGAACTTGCAGCGCTATCGCAAGGTACGGGGGCATCCAGGACGGAGCCTAAGTAGGGGCAAGAACTTAGGTTAGAGGAAAATAAAATGGAAGTGCTCATGCACCTTAGAGTCTCCTCCTTCCCCGCCTGAGGCTTAGTCCCTTTCAGAAAAAAAGGAGATTTTTATGCTGTTTCAAATGCACTATCTACACTACCACAATGCCCCCCCCCCCGTCACTTGCGATAGCGCCAAATTTGCATTTTGACACATGATCCAATGATATGATATATCCAACCAATGATGACATTCCAGGAATTCGCAGAATAGAGCCGTTGCTGGAAAGTGACATCTATTCAAAGTATACGAAATTTCAGCTCATCAACGGCCAGAAATAGAACTAATTGAGAGCAGCTAGGAGGTGAGAACAACTAAAACTTGGCTAAAACTTCCATTTTTGTTTCGATTGTTTGGCCTTTGTTAACTGCTATTTGCTGCGCCGATTTCTCCGAATGCGAAATTTTCACAAGACTGCTGAGTTTATGTTTGCAAACAATCAGGCAGGAACCTAAAGCAAAACCCCCACAAGGAGCGTGCGTCGAGATCTCCTTCTAGTGGATGGGAATAGAATAGGCCTACGAATACCGCAGATTTGAGCCATGTCGCGTCTTAAATAGCGCGATCGGCGTCGTTGCTTACACAAGTGATCTGTGGCGGACTACATGTGATCTTGCATGGACGAGATACCTCGTGCACACTCCATGATATGCACCTTGGATTACGATGTGGCGGAAGATTCAATTACACGAGTCAGCGGGCAGTGGAGCAAATAGTTGGGAAAGCTCGTCCGGCCCTGCCCTTCCTTATCTCATGGAGGATGAGGGAAAACAATGGTTCGCTGTCTTTATTGGTCGTCGCCACTTTGAATAACGGCCACAACAGAAGATGGCTGGACAGAAACACTTAGGTCTTTCTTGATGACTTTCCTCCACCCCTTTTTGGGGGCTCACTGCTGTCGCTTGCTTTGCGCTTTCGAAATCCATCGCTCCCCTTACCAGGTTGTTCTGTGGTTTTCTGAGCGCGTATTCATGCCATCAGAGGTTTGTAGTCGTCTTACTTCCTAATTTTCGACCCTGTCCAGTGCCCTAGTCCATTTCACAGTTCACAATCAGAATGTCAGCATTCTCATTTCGGCGCTGTGGAGCTGCTTTCGTGATTCTTGTTCAGGATACAGCACTCGCTGCCGTATAGCATCGCAGGCCTTACCACTGTCCGGTACACCTTCCCTTTGAGCGCTCTGGAGCACCTTCGGTCGCAGAGGATTCCAGTGGACTCCCTCCATTTCATCCATGCCGCGTTGATCCGTTCCTTTGAGTGTTTGTCCACACTGCCGTCGGTGACTGGGTCGCTCCTACCGTATATGAATCTGCTTGTTCCCTCTTCAAGCACTAAGCGACCGTCTCTAACCTGCCCCTGTCTTAGCCCTTCAAAAAGTGAAACCAAGTGCCATGATGAGGTTGAGTCCGTAGATATTTTTTTCTCGGAAACTAGCACGGTCGGATCCGATTTCAGACTTGAGGCAATTTGCTTTAGCCATTATCGAAGCGTTTTTCAGCTTTTCTTCAAAAGATTTATTGTTGAGCCTGTATGTACTATTATGAATTTTTCCTGTGTTCTGAAGTAACCATAAACTACTCAATCATGAACTCAGGGTTGCCCCACTTGCTTCTTAATATTAAATGCTGAGCTTCAAGAGCAGTCAGTTATAGGTAAAAGAAATGGAAGAGTGTCGATATCAAGCCCGAAAGGACTGCACCGATGTTAATCGCGTATTGCTGGACCTGAATCCTGAGCACACCTATAACCTATAACTTCCTTTTGGCGGTATCTTGTTACTTCGCTCTCTCGCGTCTCTCTTTCTTATGCCATCCCAAACATTTCAGGCTCTCCAAATGGGTCTTATCGATCTCAAGCACTGGTTTCTGATCACGAATATGGTACGTACCTAACCGTTTTGTTCATGTTATTTAGTATTGCTCGAGTTTCAAACCCATGCTATGAACTCCAATGGGATGTAGCTTATCAGCCTTCAACCTCATAATCATTCTGTACTAAGTGATGAGCCAGAAAAATGGCTATGAAAAAAGGCTACTGTGAACTAAACTCTATAGAGATATTCTATTGCAAACAAGAAGTTGAAAGTTTTCACCATTTTTCGTTTCAGGAGCTATCAACGATGGACATGGATCTCTTCAGTTAACCATGCCATTGCAGTGTCACCGTATCCCGTTGACGGAACATTCCTGCTAGAAAGCAAGCACATGTTCAACTTCACACAATTTCAGCAGCATGTCCGCCAGAAGTGGAACACGAAGACAGCTAACAGCAAAAATCTGAAAATGGTTGGTAATCAGGGGCCGGTCTTGTCACACAATTACAAAATTAGTTATTGACGAATATTATATTTGTAATGTGTTTTCACAGAGAACCGCTGTTTCCCATTCAGCATAGAGGAACAAAAACAAAAACGGAAATAGTATCTTTCCACCAGAGGCTGTGCAGAGCGCTATACTGGCCGTATTTGCCAAAAAAGGTTTTTTTCCAGATGGAGGCCGTGTTCACCTTTGACGCTATCTACACATTCGCTAACACCTTCACCGATGTATCAGCGGCGATGATGGTGAGTGAACCAGCGGCCATTGAAGGAGGTATCCAACCTCTCTGAGGGTTCGGTTTAGGCCGATGTCAGACTTTGCGAATCGCGCGATTCGCTAGCGTCTGCGGTCGCGTCGCGGCCAGTGAATCACTCAATTGGCTGGTACCGCAACGCGACCGCGGACGCTAGCGAATCGCGCGATTCGCAAAGTCTGACATCGGCCTAGCATGCAGTTCGCAATGAAGGATATGCCCCCACAGAACCATCATGCCCCTTCCCGTGGCCCTCTCGGCGCCGAACGCACACCGACTGGCTAAAAATTCGCCGTAATTGCTTTGGCAAAGAGAGAGCATTAGCGTTGAAGAGGGCAGCACCGATGAGAGTCGCATCTACGGAAATCAACGGGCAAGAAGGGTCCCGCTTTTCGGGTTCTGGGCCGCTTCTCATGTTTTTTGACCACCTCCATCTTGATTCTAGTGACTGCCGTAATCGTGAGCTCTGCCTTTGGGCATCTTCCACCTGACCAATCGGTAACCAACCACTCGAAGCGCCGCCAAAGGGTGTCAATCCAATAAGTATGGAAACGGGTAATCCGTGCGATCACCAAAGCCTTCTTTCATTGCATGAATCCAACCTTTCAGGGCTCGCCACCCATGCTTCAGGTAGATCTAGGTAAGTGGATGACGCGTGAGCGCTGGGGCCATTTGTCAGGCTGCTTTTAGGGATCAGAATCGCAGCTGTGGTGCAGAACTGTGATCAGGCAGGGTAGGATGTGCAATGTTGGTGGTGCCTAATGTACAAAACTGTCTTTCTGTGTATATGGCAGGAGCTTAGGCTCCTCGGAATGGGTCATTTCTAAGATACTTGCCTTCGCAACCCTCCTCCATATAGTATAATAGATCTGGTATTTCACACGCTTCTGGGAAGTCGCAGTCGTTTCCACTTTTCAGAAATACTTTTTATTTTTACAGCTGGACGATCTTCCTCTAACTATGTGCCGGAAGCCCACGAGAAATACCCGAAGATACCAGCATGGACGCACACTTATAGATCGTATGCTAGAAAATGTGAGTTTCTGTCGGGAAATATTATTAGAACCGCGGGAGAAGGAAAACGTAAGTAGAGCTAGATAAAGCAGGATGGGCAAAACAAGTGTTAGTAACCAGTAGTGAGAGTAGTTAATTTGTAATTTTTTTTTTTTTTTTTTTTTTTTTTTTTTGGCTTTTTTGTGAATTTCACTAACTGAGCTCTGCATGTCGAACTTAAAGGCAGCGATCACGATGGGTGGAGGGTGGTGCGGTTTGATGATGTCATTGATGGTCATGGTCAGGCTGGAAATAGGCCAACAGCACTATGAAGGGTGGAGTCTAGTCCACAATGGCCTTCAACAACGTCACCAAAACCGCTTTGCCCTACAGCCATCATGTTCACTGCCTTCAGTGCTCTCAGAATCTCTAATTTAGAGCCTCCGTGGTTTATCAGGCGATCTCCGCAGACTTAATGGAAATCCAGGCAAGAGCAACTACTCGTTGCGGATTCAACTGATTGGATACAATGGAGTGCTAGAAGATGCAAGTTACTTCCATGACTCATTTCTTGTCGCTTAAGCTGAAAAGTGATCTGAAGTTCATTTGCAATGATTGAAATTGGCATAATAATATAATATCAGTATAATGAATAATAATATAATAATAATAATATAAGTATAAGTTATACGAGCCTAGAATGAAAAAGTGATGAGATGCAACCGATTGTGTGGCAGCATTTCCTGATGATGCGAACAGTTTTGAGGCGGCGATTTCACATTAAAGGCAAGAATCAGGATTACATTGATGGGTTGGTTGGTTCTACTCAAATGTGAAAGTAGGGATGAGAGGTGGACCGCCAATGGAGAAAAAGGAAAGAAAATCCTGAAATACACAGGAAATACGAGCATTTTGCTCATGCTGTGGAGAAGTTCAAAAGACAGGCAGGGAGATGAGAGATAATGTGAGCGCGGAGAGGGTGGTAGAGAATTCGAGAAGAGAGCATAGCAGATCAACGCAGCGACGCAGACAAGACATCGATCGGTGGGCGGACCATGTTATGTTTGGTGGAGTGTTAGAAGTTCATGGCGCCTAGGGTCCTGGTGACGGGTTTCGATGTAGAAAGGTGGCGCTACCTTTGCACTTGCGTGCCCAGCACTTCTAGCCATGGTAAGGGCTTCTTAGGTGGGTCTGAGCCCGAACTTTGCCTTTAAATGGAGCCAACTATTGTTCATATATGCCAAACTTCCTATCCGCGGATTGGGAAAAACGCCACTTTGGTTTGGAATAAAACATAATTTTCAGCCTTTGCTCTGATTCGTTTACAGGAAAGAGCTTATTTGTTGTTTATATGCTTATACAAAGAAAGTGAGTTCCCCAAGAAATGTAACCGCGAAAGGAGGTTTCCCCAAAGCCCCGATCTGAAGATTCCGTCAAGAAACATGGAAGTGAGCGCATCTGAGCACATGTCGTTGTGACTGACATTTTCAAGAATTGCACGCCATGTTCCTAAATGAATCTTACTAACTTTAATACAGATTGGCTTCTGGGAGCCAGCCACCGAAGTTCATGTGAACATGAGTGGCGATTCGCGTGCTCAACTTCAGCGAAACGTTCAAGTGTCTGATGAACTTAAGCCACATTTTCGCGTCACTACTATCATGGTGAGTTCGTAAAGCCTTACTTTCACAGATACTGCTTAATTCTATAGTCCTCTAAAATCTTTTGCAACCTCAAAATATCGCTTAATGGAATTCAATTCACCCAAAGTTTTTGCGGTTCGTGCCCGTGGACTTATGGGCCAGACAGCGGATGATGCTACTGCATACAAGGTTTGGGACCCGATAAACAGGGTCACTCCATCCCTACAACTGTTACCATCCTTTGATTTCTGATACCACAGTTACTGAGTTCTCGAAAATTGCGATACTTCTTGTGGTCTGATCACCTCCTCGTTCTTCTGTAACTCCATGAAACAAGCTTGGAAGTAGCTTGCGAACGTGAAAACCAGCTTCTGCTTCAATTTTTCAATGAATGTAGGCTTCAGGAGCGACCATATGTCATGCTGAAAAAGAACCACTACGAATTATACGGCAATATGAAGTTTGAAGGATTCTGCATTGATCTTCTAGCCGAGCTATCAAGAGATCTTGGTAAGTGTACCCGTTGTATTTTATTTACAGGTTCTTTTGCAATAAGCGTTAACTATGCGCATGCTTCTGAAGAAGAGTTCACATCAAGGAAATCGTTGACGGAAAATTCTCGTATTCTCCCCATCATGAATACATTAGTTGTGATCACTAGACAGGGTAAAAGTTTTACGCAAGTTTCCAAAGAGAATAATTCACGAAAACCACATTCTGAGGACGGTTCGCGGGTAGGTAGGGCGGAGACAAGGGAACGCATAGAAAAAAGTGCGCCTTGGGGCGGTCCTATTGAAGTAATCGAGTTATAGCCTTCGAATTTAGAGAACAGAGACAAAGCTCGAAAGTGTAGGATGCATAACTAGGAAAATTAATTTGGGTTCAAACGAGCTTAATATGCTGCAGAATTCAAAAATAGCACCATCGGCACCATCATCTCCTGACGTCCATAGATGGGATTAATTGCTCTTTTTTGTAAAACTGCCCCCTCTTAAGTAGGTTGGTCAGCGTACCCAAACCGGCGGACAGTATAAACGCGTGTCCATACGTTTACGACAGGCTTGTGTGAGTGAGAACCTCCGTAAAGCGAGCGAGTGAACTCTTGAGCGAAAAATAGCCTCTGTTCCGCACAGCTTACGTGTTAAATAATGCCAGCGCTAGGTAAAGCATATGCAGTAGGTAGATCGAGTGCCTCCAGAGGCCTTTTCATGAGCTTTAATCATCAGGAGCAGTCCCAGGCTACTTTGCACCTGTTTTCATCAGAAGCTAGAATGATTTCTTCACTCAGAAAGTCTGGACCAATTTCAAAAGAATTTTTTTTGTTTTTGCAAAACTTAGCTCCCATCTCCACACTGACATTCCTTGCAACATGACTTTCTTTTACAACTTGCTTGATTTTCAGGCTTCACCTACGCAATTCATGCGGTAGCTGATGGCAAGTACGGTAATGATGTGTACGGAAACGGTTCATGGGACGGAATGATTGCGAAATACTCAGAGGGGTTGGTGAACGAGCTCTTCACACTCATCACATAATGCTCGTATTACGTTGCTTACAGGATGCAGAGATGGCTGTAGCGCCACTGACTGTGAACTTCCGACGTTCTGAAGTGGTTTCATTCACTAAACCATTTCTATCACTCGGCATCAGCATTTTGTACAAGGTCTTTATTTCGTTGCTATTTTCTTAATAGATTGTCCTCAATCCGTGACTCCACCGAATATGGTGTGTCTTTGGGCCAGCTTATTCATTCATTCAGGTACCGGATTGACATCCCCCACCCCCGATCTCCTTGCTCCTTTCTGAATCCGCTTCATGGCAAATCTGCTAGCGTATTCTGGCGCTTGGTAAGCTGTTGGGCAACTTGCCCATTCTAGGAGCAGTTTTGATAAAAACTCCCCAACTCCTTGCTTTTTGCAGCCCGGCGTCAGCTTTTGGTAGCAATAATTTTGACAATTAATAATATTTAATCATTTGATAGTACGTATTGTCACGTCAATAATAACAAACATCTGTTATCATCCATTCAATTAGAGCGGGTCTTATTGTCATTTATTCGAGCCGACGATCTTGATTCCGAGCTCAGCGTGCAAGCACTGCAATTTTTTTCATAGACAGCGTCCAGTTTACCAGTCCTGAATGACCTATGTTGCTTAGGCGATTAGTGCTACGAGACGACCAAGCGTGAGAGCGTGAGCATTCTGTAAATAACGAATTGCATCAGCAGATCCGGCTCGCAGTTATGACTGAATTTCGTGTATGACGTCTTCATTTGATATTTGCCGCAGATTTTAGTCCTGTCAGTTCTTCAACACATTACGAGTTGCGAAGAACCACATGGAATAGCATAATTTTATGGCGTTTTTTATTTCTTCCGTTTGCACTCAATTTCAAACAAAACAATACGTGAAAGACAAAATTGCTGACATTAGTGATGACCGTTTTCTAATAAACACCAAAAATATTGCGGATACCCTACAATGGTGATCCGCAATGTTTTGAAGTGTCTGGATTTTTCTTCCACGGTCATGTGAATTCTCAGGCAAAATTGTTGCTAGATGAGTTAGCTTCTTATCAAATCTAACTGAAGGGCATTAACCCTTCTACTTTTCTCACCCATTTATCGAATGCCTGTGCATTGGCATGGGCGCTCATCCGGTAAGGGGGGGGGGCATTGTGATGCAACGTCAAGTAGCTGCCCTCACCCCCCCCCCTGAACTGGCTTCACTCCCCCTGGCTCACGGGGTCCCGTACTTCGAGAAACCTGTGCGCCAGGGGGAGTGTAGGCAGTCTAGGGGTGGGGTGAGGGCAGCCACTTGATGCCCCCTTACTGGATGAGCGCCATAGCTGATCCTAAAAATAATCGACCATCAGCCGCGCCGGAACTCACATCCATCTCGCTCAAGCCAATCTGAAAATAAGCCAAAGCTGCCACACAGAAATCATTGAAATAAGGCCTAAAAGCAGAAAAAAAATCGAAAAAGGACAGTGAGGATTGAAATATTTCCATTTTCATTTGCACTGCATATGTTCTTCTGGATTCAGTGATGAAATTTGCAGTATGCGTGACATTGGGAATGTACACGGTGTCGCGAGTGACACCGTTCGAGTGGAACCTGAACTTCTCGTGCTGCACGGCTCACCAGCCTCATCCAGGTGCCGCGTTTGTGAAACTCACCTGTGGAGCTTTCGAATAACTACAGCTTCTGGAATACATTATGGTGTGTTTACATATTGAAAGCATTTTGTCTATAGCAATTCTGCCAAATGGCCATACTGGCTTTCTCAAGTGTACTGAATATTGTCCCACTCTATTTAAAACGGTTCAGTTGGGGAACAAAACATTCCCTGTGGAGAATTTGAATTCTTTACTGAGCATTTCTGCTAACCCTTAATCAGTTGCGCATATAATCACCGAAGCCGCAGGCTTACGGTAGCTCGCGGTTGTCCTACCCGCTGGAGATTCTTCGTGTGACTTCACTCTATATTACAAAGTCCGTTCTTGACCTATGGCTATGGAAGGGTAGAAAATGCGATTTTCCATGGTCGCTTTGATGATCAAATTAATCTCTACGGAGCTCCACCAAAACACATCCACATTTGCACCTAGCGCCATCCCATTACGCCTAATTTCGTATCTATATAAAAGCTCCAACTCGCCCATCTTCATTAGTGGTGGCTTCTTAAGGTACGTAACCAGCACAATGCTCAAAGGAGGATGCGATTTTGGTCCTCGGGCTGTGTCAACGAGGCTACTAGGAGGTATAATTCGTCTTGTAACTCGGCATGTCAGTCTGTATGTCCCTATGTGTGTACCCTTTGTATGTGTCGGCAAGTAGCACGTCCCTGGAAGTCTCACACAACGCAAGTGCCGACGGCTCCACAAAATGCAGTAGCTTTCTGCCAACAATATTATTAGCCTGTTGCAGTATTCTATCAACTACCATTGATTACAACAATCGTTCATCAATTATCAGCCATCACCATAAAACAGGGAACGGGATAAAACTCGTGACGGTTGCGTAACCAATTCTTTCCAATAAAAGCATAGCTCGCCCTATTTCACCATTGTCTGCGTGGCATGGGCAAAAGTAGAGGGAGGAGAGAAAGAAGCGAGGCGAATTACACCCACCTAAGGTTCAAAGGTGCGGAGGAATGCCGAGACAACATGATCCATATTGTGAATGAGAACCTTCACTTTACAAGAACATTCTGGCGAGTGAACACTCCCTCCATCGAAGTGTCGACTTCACAAGTTGAAGTGTGCGGAGTAGAAAGAATAACTTGCAGGAAAAGAAAGTTCCCGACCAGAGTCAAGCGAAGCGTCAAGGAAAAATTTTGAAATACGGTACCCGTCCCCCAGCGGCGGAAGTCCATGAAACGATTATCTTCAAAGCGAAGTCAGAAAAGTTTCGCCAACATAGACCGGCCCTTCTCACCTCATCCCCTTATCCATCTGTAGAGGATCCTCACTGCGTCTTCATCACACGGGTCGCGACGGGCCGGGGGTATGAATCGTAGACGCCTGATCCGGTTTTTGGCCGATGGTTCAAATGATCTCTGATTTAACCAAGAACTTCCCTCGTCACGTCACTTTAAGCACATTAAGACCGAGACAAAATAGACAAAACAAGTGTAGGGGTTCCACCGAATCAGGAGAGACGTCTGTTGTGAAATACCTTTCCATCATTTCTGAAAAAGGTTTCTCTATCGGATCTTTTAAGGAACATGGTGGGTGTTCACGCTGGTGATCATCAGTGCATACACTGCAAATCTGGCTGCAGTCGTCTCACTGTTTCGCGGCCATTCATCCCAATCAAAAACCTTGACGATTTGGCTAATCAGACAACCATCTCGTACGGGTACCATCAAAGGAGGCAGCACCATGCAATTCTTTCAGGCAGTTCTCCAACGAATAGTACTGCAAGTCTTCCTTCACACTCGCCCCAGCGATCCTGTCATTGGAGTATGTGCGTGGGGCATTTCGGCAGTTTGGAAAAGTCTGAGAGAAGTTGGATCGGGGAAGCTTGAAATGAATGAAAGATCACGTTCTTTAAGAGTAAGCGGTGCTTGATCAAGCCCGCCTACACCTTAAAGGCAGGGTCGGGATTTTTGGTAGTAATTTAGCCCTTCCCAAAGATAAATGTAGGCAGTGGTGGAAGCATGTACACAGATATCGGGATGATTTGACTAAACCGAAAGCTAAAGGCCTAGGATGCAGCATTGGCCCCGTCCAATACCACTGGTCCCGCCCACAGACGAATGCTATTTAGCACTGCCGCTGCTGGAGAGTGGGACTTTTCGTAATGGCGACGGTTTTCTTCCTTTTTTCTATAACTGGCTTTATACCTCACATTACCGCTCTCAGTTTGGAAGCGTAATAACACACCAGTTTGATCCCGCACTGTGCCTTTGAGTTTCGAAATGTCGCTGAAATCATAGCGTAAATGACAGAAGAGAAGACTATTATCGAAAGGCTGCACAAAAATAAGAATTTTTAGCGACCAATTAAAAATATAATTTTCCCGCCCAAAATTGGTTGCTCTTGCACAGCATGTGGAATACCATGAAAAAAACCCGTGGGGAAATTGGGTTTTTTTTGGGGTTTTTTCGTCAAGGACCACGAGAAGGATTTGAAAGATAAGTCGAGTAACTTTTTCATGATCGGAAACACACCACTAACTTAGTTGAATAGAATTTAAAAAGAAAAACTTGCTAATGGAATTTTGCCTATTCGCTCCCGGATTATGTACATTTAGCGACTTGCGTATTTATGAGTCAACATCGTTGAATTTGAAAGTGTCACAAAACTGCAACCTTACTCAAATTGGTGGTGTGTTGGGTTCGAAAGGTTATGGCATTGCCTTACAGAAAAGTAAGTGATTTTCATCACATTTTCTGTACATTTACCTCAGAGGGTATAGAGTTTACCGATCGCGGTAATTAAAACTTGAATGGCTGTTCATGTTTTTCAAACGTATCATTTACACCCCCCTTCTCCAGTCAAGAATCGCGTTGAAAAATTATAATATTTATTGTGTCAGCAAAATGGCCATATCGAGTATCAACATCTGTGCTGTTGCCACGGCTCGAAATGAAGGGCGACAATGCGCTGGGGTCTAAAAAATTCAGCTTACCACGACTAATCTTATGGTTAGCTGGGAAAGTTAATTGGAATGAGATTGTGCCCCGGTAGCGTAACTGATAGCTCACATTACCCCATTAAAGCAAGAGTCTGGATTCGAGTCCCCCGTCCGTAAAGTTTATTCACAATCCAGCCATATGTGAGACTAATCCAGAAATGCGTTTGGACGATTACGTCCGCATAAAAAGCAGCGTGATTACGGCGTAGCGGCCAATTCAAATACGCGCGGGTTAGTTGAGCCATGGAGCAGGCAAGTTCGTACAACTCGCGTCGGCCCCGCCCCTTCCTTATTTCAAAGGGGAATTCTTGTTGGGCTTCATCGACGGTTTTCTTTGCTTTTTTTCCATTTTTAGTCAGTCGGCATCCACAGCTTTCATTATCAACCCCTTGTGACCCCACAAACTCGATCTAGAGGTGTTGATCTAAATCGTACTTAAAGCCACGAGTCAGGCTCAGTGGACCAAACCAATCACTTTAGTCGTCTATGTGCATGGCTACGCACCCACAGGGACGTTGCCATGCTCAGAATCTCAAAAGGCGCCGTAATAACGCCCCAGGGCATGCATTAAGCGCTCGCGCCGCCTGGAGGCGCTCCGGCCGCCCACCATGGGATGTGGTGCGTGGCTGGCCTAACGTGTGAGATCAGCTGAGTTGATTGCCGTATCAACCGATGGAACGGCTGGCATATCCAGAAAACTCGTTTGGACGTGACTCTCCCCCGAGCAAATCTCCTTCACTGCTAGAAGGAATGGGTTTCTATTTAGGTGTTGTCGACAGTTTTTTTTTTCGTTTTTCTTCACTATCGTTCCACCTCCCATCTCTAAACTCAATATCAGGTGCCATAATGCCGAAACACGAGCCTGACTTTTGCCTTTAAGGCATATTCCGCTTCATTTTCATTGTATTCCATCAATGTGTGGATAAAAGTCTGGTTTTCAGAATCTGAATGGACAGATCGAATTTCTCGTCAAATTTTACTCTATCAGAAGCGCGGCATTATCGAAATGAAAAAGTCAAAATGGTGGAGGAGCAAGTAGGTTGAATATACCTTGACATGTAAAAGGAGCCAGTGGTACGGTACTGGCGTTCAAGCAGTGGTTGCTAGATAGTAAGGTACTGGTGCGTGACTACCCTGCCTCTGCCGATAAATTATCCAACTTTCATGGGCCGATGTCATAGTAGCGAATCGCTTGATCCGAGCGTTGCGTCAGCAAATCGAACGTTGCACCAGCGAGTCGAACGATGTACCAGCGACTCAATAGTGGGACCCAACGTTTAAAGGAAGCCCGCCACTTTCAAACAGTGTCCACTGTCAAGTCCCGCCACTTTCAAACAGCGTCCACTGTCACGTGACACTGTTTGAAAGTGGCGGGCTTCCTTTAAACGTTGGGTCCCGCCACTATTGAGTCGCTGGTACCTAGTTCGACTCGCTGGTACAAAGTTCGATTCGCTGGTGCAACGTTCGATTCGCTGGCGCAACGCTCGGATCCAGCGATTCGCTAGCGAATCGCTCGATTCGCAAACTATGACATCGCGCCATACCAATTGGTATACAGAATCTGGGTCGCTAAAAGAGCCCGGCATTGGTAGCCTTGAAGGCGTCCTTGTGCTAACTGTCATCAACTGATTTCGTTGACCTCAAAGCGCCTTATGCCGAAGTAAATTTTCGGTGCTACTCGGAAATGTTGACTACGTACCAGTCCAAGAAAACAATAACAACGTGAGCGCCTTTACAGCCTCAGCATTGTATTCAAGCCAATCACAGGAAACGCTCTCATCGCTCATGGCTTCTGTTTACAAATGAAGTTCCGAGAAGGCTTTCTTGCTAGGAATGTCTCCAATCTGACTAAGTTTCAGGGGAGCTACTTGCACAGGAACCAGCTCGTCCGTGAAACAACAGAGGTTCTCACTCAGTCTACACAACGTTGCGGGGCTTTTCATTATTCTCGGCGCAGGACTTCTATTTGGCATACTGACTGTCATTGTGGAGTTATTCATATCAGGTGCAGACAATACGAGAAGGAAAAGGTGAGCTTTTCCAACGGAGTACTAGAGATTGCTGATCATCCATGGCTTTGCAGATTTCTATTTGGACTGAACTCGTCAATGAGTTGCGATTTGCACTCAACCTCAACATTATCGAGGATCATCGATCTAGAAAGAAGAACAGCAAATTGAATGGCGCTGTTCCGCCGCCGGATTTTCACCCAAGAACCAGAACTTCCTCGCATTACGAACTCACCGACAAGTAAAAGGCGAAATTAGGCCGCTGAGAAATTCTGATAATTTATATGATCTCACAAAATTATATAGTACATTTCGAAACTGTGTCTGTGTTATCTTGAGATCTTCAAACCGCGTTTCTGCTATCTTTTTTGAATACCAGATTAGTCCCCCGTCAACCGCCGGGACCTTCCTTTCCTGCGCAAGCTTTCTATCCTCCGCTATGGTCCCTTCCTCCTGTGACACCAACACCTGGTGGAAGTGACGCGTATGCAACACAATGGTGTTTCATACAGTAGAAGGGACACAATCATGATATGACGGTAGATTTTTCGCTTCCCTTCCTCATCCTCCCTTCCTCTCTCCACTGCCCTCCAGCTGCCACTGCAGCACCATGTGGAATGAACGGAAGTGTGCTAAGCAGGTGTTTATATAGCCCTGAGAGTGTTATCACAACTATCTACAAAACATTGATATCTCAAATCCTGTAAGCTACCCGATTTGTTAGCGGTTTGTTTATCCCATGAGCTTCCTTCTCACTCACTTCATTTTGCGGACGGACACACATACACACTCACACACACACACACTCACACACACACATACAGATACACAAACCGACACACAAAGTTAGCGCTTTATAATATAGTAGGATAATAAATTTGACTATTTACTACCTCACCATGGTAAGAACCGCAACCTGTAGCTGATGTGCCAACAGGGAGAGTCCAAGGCTGCATTATTCGAACCGCATGGAATCTTTGTGGCTGTGAAATGTATGTTTTCCTCGAAGCACCGGCTCAATTCTCAGATTTGGCGCGAAATCTGAACCGGAACGCCGTTTTCTGAGGAACCTCGCCCATAGAACCCCTCCTGCCTATTTAGTTACCATCACCAACCTCCACCTACCTGACGTTAATAATCAAACTAAAAAGGATGAAGCTTTTTTTTCCCAGCTTTTTCCACCAAAGTCGCCAAAATGAAGAAATGCCACGATTGGTTTTGCGTCCTCATACTTGGGTCAAAGAATCGACAGTTTCCTGCAAGTCAATAGTGGGGAATATCATACGTGAAGAATCGACAACTAATACAACTGATCTTGTTGATAAGCCCTTCATCCTCCAATATAAAAGAAGGTCGTGATGATACAGATCCTCACTTATGTACAGCTGCAGAACACGGGCGTGTCGTCGTAAACTCATCGTTCACAATGCTTAAAAAAGGTACAGACATGATTTCATCTTGTAAGAAAGCTTTAATCCTACTTTCACCAATACAGCATGGTTTTAGTCGAACAATATTGCTAGTATAGTCGTTTGTTTCGTGTTTCCTGGCACCAAGATGTTCCTTGCTCTCTTCATTGCATGCTCTTTCTGGCCTCAGGTCGTTCGGGGAGGGTTGGGGGAACATTCAAAACAGGCCCGGTGGTAGGTGAGACTAGGGTCTAACGTAGGTCCTGCACAGAGGAAAAGCGCCATGGAGAACGCGAATGTATACCACATAATCTCTCAAGATCCTTTCCCCTCCCTAGGGCTTAGTCCAAAGCACGGTAATTGGCCCCCTCACTTGGTAGTCCCCCTCCGAAGGACATGATCGCCCTCTTTTTTATGCAGACTCTCTCGACTTCACAATTTATCAAGTTTTTTAGCGCTGTTGCCGCCGGGGTGAGGGGAGGGGGAAGGGGGTTTGGGAGGAAAGGAGCATTGTAGTGCGGACCGACCATAAGAGAGAAGGAGCTGTGGGTAGAATGAAATTGCTAACACACTCCCTTTCATGATAGGGGGAGTCTTGACCGTGTGCGGTCTGCACATACCGATGCCGATCTCTCTCAACAGCACCAGTGCTCTTTTCAACTGTCCGGAAAGCAGGAGATCCGGGTACGGACCCGGCTAGGGCGAAAGTTTTGCTCGCAACGTATAGTGACTTTCCTACTTGTTTGTTGTTGTTGATTTTTCTTCTGAATAAACTTTCCTTTCCTACTTGTCTCAATCACAGTCAAGGATTACT